AAATTCATACGTCGATTTTCCTCAGGCATGGAAAGTATCATCCGGTAGGTTTCTTCAGGCTTAGAAAGCTACCAAATTCCTTAGTCGGCTTTCCTCAGGCATGGAAAGCGTTTCAACGAACGTTATCAGGTGGATTCCTTCAAGCATAGGAAGCTGCCAAACTCATTTTTCACCGATACACTAGTGCCAGTTACGTATTCTATCCTTTTACTATTTTATCTTTGGAATTGACATTTTTCTACAGGTATCGGCGTATACAGAGTGATTTAGGATTGCAGAACGTCTTAAATCATTATCCTTCCCTATCGGCTACTTTGACTATCGTTTTCGAAACTAACGTTTCTACAAACTCAGTTAAAGTGGGGGCTTCTATAGACACCTAAAAATGACTCCCCAAAACCAAACCCGATGATGAACAACCTTTTACCGTCACTATTGGTCGGGTTCAGTATTTAATCTCGAGAGTGCTTAAAAAAATCGTATTTAATTAAATTCAATTTTTGAATAGTCCGTAAATCAGTATTGATGTTTGGTTAAAGCATTGTTTTATTTAATTTTAGCCCAAACCTTTTTTATTTTATTGTTTTATTATTTATTTTGGCCCAAACTTTTGATTTATTTTTATTTATTTATTTTCTTATTTTAGCCCAAATAATAATAAATCAGGAATGGCCAGAAATTATCAATCGACACTTAAAATGCTGAACGAAATTAGTGTTAAAAATGAATTTAGACGGAAAAGCGGACTGAAAACTCCCGCGTCACGGCAACAGTCCACCGTGTCACAGGAAACTGTCCTGTCTGACGGTGGGGTTCCCCGTGACACGCGACACCTGATGTGACACGGGGGTTTCCGTGTCCTTTCCACGTAAACCCTTAACGCGTTTTCTCCCCCGTTCACTAAATATTTCCCTCGTCACACAAAAGTACACTGTGTCACGGGAATGTTACCCGTCTGACAGTGGGATTTCCGTGTCACGGTACACTTTTCCGTGTCGCGGTATACTTTTTTAGGGTTTTTATCTTTTTAGGGTTCCGTGTGTTCCCTCAGCACATTTTTCCTATAAATACCCCCTCATTTCTGATGTACGGGGCATCAATTAATTCTCTATTTTTCTCTCTTCTATGCTCTAGCCTAAACACTAGCCTACCCTTCTTCTTTCAAAATTCCTTCTTCAACCACTCCAAGGAGTCCATACTTTACTCGTGGTTCTATCCTTAAGCCAAGGCGTGAAAGGTAGAACTGTTTGAGGGTTTTGCCCCAAATCAATTCTATTTGATTTAATTTAATTTAATTATTATTTTATTATTATTTTCTTGAAGTTACTAACTCGTTTATTATTTAGTAGTTGCAAGCAAACATAATCAAAGTAAGAATTATGTTCCTTTTATTTCTATTATTTTTCTAACGATTTTATATTGTTGTAATTATTGTTAAATTGCTTTTAATATTAATGTTTATTCTATTTTTATTTTTGATCACCATATTGCATGTTTAAAGGGAATATGTAATTGAAAATCACGCCTAATAAGATAATTTGGACAACCGGTTTAGGATCCTTTTTAATCTTGTTGTTTAATCAAGTGGTCACAAATATTTTAGAATTATGTGTTGCATTAATATTAAACCAATTTAGATTAATAATAGTTTGGAGCAAATTGAATCTCTGTTTGTATGTCTTTGAGATCGCAGGAATGCTTTTCACTATAAGAATCGAGTAGAGGCCAATACGGGCGAATGTGACTCCATGACTCACTTTGTACCATCATCCCCGATCCTCCTTTCGTGGTTCTGAACCATATGGAGTTAGTAATATCGTGGATTATGAATGGGGTATAATCTTCACGGGTTAATCGTTGTTGCCTATCGTTGTCCCTTATTGCGGTTGCCTTTTTATGATCCGTCAACGGTTTACAAGTTCCTTACAAACTTGTTGGCGGCTCCCTACTTTTCTTTGTCCCTAATCGTTTTCCCTAATCGTAATTTCAATTCCCACTTCCTATGAGTGCCAAGCATATTCACACATGCTTTTAACGTAGGCGCACATCGAGCGACACCTACAATTTGGCGACTCCACTAGGGAGGATTCTTGGTTATTTATCGATTTGAGTGATCGGTATTTAATTAAGATGAGTGGATGAGACTTGAAAGATTCTTGAAAAATATTCCTGTGATTAATTTCGCATTTTTGCATAAGCATAGATGTTTTAACGTCGCATTTAGGTTTGTCCCGTAGGAAAAATTGAATAACTTGATTGCGTACGAAGGAAAACGGGCACCAGTCAGATTTTCTGTCTGTCGTGCCACGGAAGAATCTGCCGTGTCACGGTGCAGTACACCGCCTGACGGTGTGCAGTACCGTGGCACGAAAATCTCTGCCGTGTCACGGAAGTCCTAAAATCAATCCGGTGGCTTGTTTTCTCTTCTCACAGTCAAATTCCATCGATTTTTCTTAAAAAACGTGTGTGTTCTACATGCGTCTTTGCCTCGGGGGATTTAAGCTCTATCAACCCAAAAACACTCATGGCAAATGGTTCATCCGAGTTATTAAATCCACCCAAACCATGCAGTCGAGTTCGATTTCATCACGAACTCGCGGAGCCGCCCGTTGGCATACACCCTCAAGGGAGGCTACCTTGCTAACGCGTCGAAACTCTTAACCATGGTACCCTTTTGACACCCAAAGCTTGATCAATAGTTGAACATAGATCTTGACCTAGGTTGCGAACTTTTTTTACATCATTGTGACTAAACGCTACATGGTTTGTTTGGTGCTAACCCTCATGTGTTTGATGATAATCCGCTTTTCCGTTTGAAGGCCTTTTCTGCGACCATGGCTCTTAAGGGAGTAGATGTGACACTCTTCCCTATGGTGTTCCCTCTTTCCTTAGAGCACGCCTTTCAATAATGGTTCTACTCTCTAGAATCCAAACATGTTGTGACCTGGGAGGATGTTGCTGAAAGCTTCATGAATCGTTACAAGTGTAACATTCAGCCAAGACATCTGAACGTGAACTCTCCATTCTCAAACAGAAAGAGAATGAAGGCTTCACCTTAAGCAGGTGAAGGGAAACAGCTGCTCTCTTGGTGGATCCCCCCAAGGAAAAAGAGATGTTTCGCTTGTTCATTGCCAATTTGACTCATAAGTACAAGCAACACTTGAAGTTTCTGCCTCTGAGTACCTTCAAAGCTGTATACGATATTGGAATCAATATCGAGGATGAACTAATTAAGACTGCTGGTAGCAACAATAACAACAGTACTTGGAAAAACAAGAAGAACGACACTCCTTCTTCTTCGCCTTCTAAGCCCAATAATGCTACCAACAATATCAATATCAATGATGTGCTGGCCCTTAATGCTCCTCCTCAAAGATTCCAAAGGCAAAGGAGGGTTTACACGCCTTTGGGAATGACTTATGATGCTGCTTTTGACCGTTTTCATGGTCAAGGACTGATTATGCCAATTGGACCATTTTCAGAACCTCGACCAGAGAATAGAACCGCTAGCTATGACCCCAATGCTTATTGCAAGTTTCATCAAGGAAATGGTCATAATACTGAGAAGTGTTGGAGGTTAAAGGATGCGATCCAAGACCTAATTGATGCTAATCAACTTCCTGTCCCTCCAAGGGGCAAGAAGCCTAACATTAAAACAGGTCCTCTTTATGATGCTTTGGCTATCATGGGAGATGAAGTCTCCTTTGATCCGTCAATACTCATTCAACTCGTGAATGAACCTCGGCCGGAAGTTGTATTTGTCTCGAGCTATTAAGAAGTGAATGGAATTTGGGATAGTGATGATGAAGACGTCTATCTCAAGGATATAGCATGTTCATCTCTTGGCACAAGTGAAGATGTTTTGGGAGACCTTGAGGTCAAGGTTCTCACCAGAAGTGGACGGTTGCAACAACCTAGTCCACCTCCACCTCCACCGCAATCACAACCAATAGTTGATCTCATCGATCCTGTGAACAACGATGTGCTCAAACAATTACAAAAGACCAAGGTGAAAATGAATGTATGGAAGCTTTTGGCCACCTCTCACAAGAATCAAAAGGCTGTGATGAATGCTCTGGTGAAAATAGGAGTTGATGATGATATGACTCCTCAAGGACTGGTCAACTTTCTCACTACTAAATTGCCAAGTACTAGCAATTTGATTTCCTTTTCTGACAAGGATCTGCCCCCGGAAGGGGACCAAGATAACAAGGCCTTACATCTCATTGTGGTGTGTAGGCAGATGAATGTTCCTATGAGCCTGGTTGATAATGGCTCTGCAATCAATGTATGCCCACTCCGCACTGCAAAGAAGTTGGGCATAAAGAATGAAGAACTAACTCCCTCTACTCAAGGGATTCGCGCTTATGATAATACTCGCCGTCAAGCCGTGGGTACTATCATACTAAACATAAATACTGGAGCCATTGAACGTCGCACCAAGTTTCAGGTGGTGGACATTAAGGCTTCTTTCAATCTGTTGTTAGGCCGTCCTTGGCTTCATGAGCTAAAGGCGATCCCATTGTCATTGCACCAAAAAGTGAAAACAATAGTTGGAGGGGTTCCAATTACCATTGATGCCTCTCCCATGCGCATTCAAGTTATCGACACTCCCATCGTCCATGTCGAACACAAAGAAGAAGATGAAGATCTCTTGGGGTTTTCGCTCGATGATGTTCTCATGATCGAAGAAGAGGAGAAGTTTCATCTCGACTTTGATCCATATTCAAACACCAATGTTAATACCATTATGAAGGAACAAGGGCATTTCCCTAGAATGTCCCTCGGACTCAAAAAGAAAAAATGGCTCAACTTTGGGGCCATCCTGGTGCACTCAAGAAAGATACCTTTGGCTTGGGATTCAAGCCAACAAAAGAAGATGTGAAACAAGCCCTATTGAAAATGAAGGCTCGCAATAATGCTCGAATCATGAAGACGGAAATGGCCATGGATCCATATCCATTCACCCTCAATGGCCAGTACATCAAAGAAGGGGAAGACTTCCCATGCTATGAATTCCATAAGCCTTCAAAAAAAACCCGACCCGATCGTCCCGACCCGCTGTCCCGGCAAATACCCGATGGGAATTTTACGAAAAAACCCTGTTTTTTCGGGTCGGGTACCTGACCCTGGAAAACTGCCTTCTATCCGGGTCGGAAACTGGGCTTGATTTTTCCAAAATTGGGTACCCGATTACCCGAATTAAAAATTAAAAAAAAAAATTCACCCTCAAAAGTCAAAACTCCTCACTTCCTCAAACAGCCCCCTTTCATGAAATTAGGGTTATCAATCTCCTCTCTCTCTCTTCCTGCACTGTCTTCTTGCCTTCTTCTTCCTTCACAAATCTTTCCTTCACGAGTTCAAGTTCAAGCAAGTTTAAGCCTTCAGTCTTAGGTAATTTCTTTTCTCATGCAAGTTTAATTTTGTTGTAATTTGTGGTAATCCAATTGACAGTGTATTTCGTGCTAATTGATAGTGTATTTCGTACTAATTGATAGTGGATTTCACTATTTCGTGCTAATTGTGCTAATTGTGGAAACAATTTATCGTGGTAATTGTACTAAATTTGTAGTGTATTTCGTGCTCAATTTCGTGGTATTGCGTTTGTTCATGGAATGTAATTTGGAATTGATATAAGATTCTCATTTGTCCATTATATCTACAATACTGTAATATCAGTATTACTTTATTATGCTCATAATTATAGCATTCTATTGGTAAGATGTATGAATATAATTATAGCATTCTATTGATAGTGTATTGCGTTTGCTCAAATTCGTGGTCTTGAATTTGTATGTCTCACTATCTGTATTTGTGTACGACATGAGGATTTGTCACGAGTTCACCAGTGTCTGTATAGTGTATAATCTCTATTAACATGTATGGCATGAGGACTTGTCTCACTGTCTGTAATTGTTCTTTGTATATTAACATGTATGGACTTGTTGTATAATCTCATTAATCTGTGAGTTTTTGATGTATATTAACACATATGGATTGATTTGTCTCACTGTATAATTGTATATGTCTTGAATTGATGTATGTTTGTTATGTAATTATTTTTGATACGTAATTATTTTTTTGCATTATTTGGTTTTGTAGGAATTAAAGACTTGGTTTTGGAGCAACCAACGATTATTATTGATGAGACAACTGAAGTTTCGGATCTCACAAGTGAATGAAACACGACCTCCAAGCTTATTTAATTTGCATTGTGGCTTTGTTATATTATTGTACTTTGTATTTGTAATTTGTATGTTTGGAATTATGTAACTAATGACTTCCCCTAAACTTTAGCTTTTAATTAGTACTTTAATATGTTAAAACAGTTTACTAAAATGTAGCAGGTACTCAAGGTAGTCAAGGGCTACATTTTACTGTAGTAATTCTGGAAAAACATGCATAAAGCATAAAAGCATAACAGGTTTCTTTTTTAATAAAAAAATGCAGCAGGTTTTTACTAAAAAATATGAAGCAGGTTTTTACAAAAAAATGAAATCTGGAAATCTGGAATTTTTACAAAAAAAAAATGCAGCAGATTTTTTTATTAAAATAAATTAAATTACAACAGGTTTTTTATTAAAATAAATTAAATTATAGCAGGGATAAATACATAATATTAAGTAAAAAGTAATTTCAAAAAAAAAAAAGATCCGGGTACCACACACAATTCCATTTAAATCTGGATCTGTTAGATTCAGATGGCGTTCAAAGTCTTGGTAATAATACTCACGTAGGGTAGGCATGGAAATAAGATTTCTGGCAGGAAATCCAAAGATGGCACCGAATTCCTCCAGCAGGGGACAGATTTCATCGTAATCAAATTTAAAACAAAGTGTTTCTGGACTCCAATAGTCTAATGCTGCCCTAAGAAAATCATGTTCAATTGCTACATGTCTCAGGGTTAGTAAACCCCTGACATGAAATAATTCAAACTCTCTTTTGTCAGCATTGGTCAAAGAATAAGACCAGTCGCGCAATGTATTATCAAAATTCTAAGACATTATTATTGAATTATGAAATTCTAATTATTTTGTGTTTCGTAATTATGCATATCACGAATATACTGGTCCTATTTTATAGCAAAAACGCTCACTCAGAATCTATCTTTCTATACGCGTAAACCACACCGTTGTAGAATACGCGCACCGTGACACGGGAGTTCTCACTGTGTCACGGGAATTTATGCCGCGATACAACAGATTTTGCCGTGACACGGTGTACGGTGCCGTGTCGCGATGCCGCACGTTTTCTTTTTTTTATCCTTTTCTTGTATCTATCCTGATTTTTATTGTTTTATCTTCACCGTTTATTTATTTTTTTAATTCTGTTTTTCGAGAGTTTCATTCCTAATAAAATTCTCAACTTTTGTTATTAATATTTTTTTTTTTTTTTTTTTATCATTTTATTTTTTTACTATTATTATTATTTCTATTCATCTTTATTATTCTTTATTTTATTTTATTATTTACTCTTAATTCTATTATTATTTTATTTTTTCTTTGGGAATTTATAAACCTCGTCCCATTTTCATACATATTCATTTTAGAGTAGTTGTAAAACTTATTCATATTTTTCTTTTCTTTTTATTTCTTTTTCCTTTTAAGGAAGGTCGGTACCCTCCACTTACTCCACTTACGTTTTTTTTTTGTCGCGTCATACACAATCACACATAATGAGTCTCAAGCACACACTAATACACTAATAAATACATAAAATGTGAATAATGTACAAAATGAGTCATAATAAATAAGCAGCGTCAAGTGTCATCACAGTATGTACAAATAAAGACCCTCGGTCAAAAATCTGTAGAACTAGAAGAGTGAGGATCAGTGTCATCTCCAGCCTGTGAATATGGGAGCGGTGAGCCAAAGAGTCCCGCAATCATCCAGGTATGAGGAGTAGTATCCCTACTAGTCCCTGTAAATTCAGTAGTAGTCAAACTTAAAGCAGGACCCGTCTAACTGGCAAACGGTGTAGACTAACTCAAAGAAATAGGAAGCATCGGTGGAGGCATCGTCCCATACACTGGAACTGAAAACAGACCTGGAATCGGGGGAGGAAGCGCCCAGACGACGGAGTCGAGTAGAGGCCCTGATCCACGGGAGTGATAACTGGCCTGAACTCAGGCTGTGAAGATTGAGAAAACGACTGTCGCTGCCACTGACCCTGACCCTGAAAGCGCTGGAAAATCTGAGGCTCCCGCTGAGACTGAGAATGTCGATGAACCTCAGGAGATCGTTTTCCATGACTAGGCTCCCCCTCTTCCGAGCCTCTATGTCTCGAGCGCGAGCGGGACCTCCGTCGCTCCTGAAAGACACAAAATCAAAAGATGTCAATGGCAAAAGACAGAACAAATGGTAAAAATGAAAAAAGTGAACATACCTCAAGAACATCGCCAGAACCGCCTCGACAGCTCGCGCCACGCCGAAGCTTGATGATGTAGTACTTCAAAGCGTCAACCAGCTTCATGAAGCCCATCGTCTCCGGGGTGAGTAGACTGAGAAAAAAGCAAAGAGAAAAATCAGTAACAAGCGTATTAAAAAGGATGAATAATGTATCAAAAGCTTACCGGCTCAAAAACATCAGGAAGAGACTCTTGCGCCAGTTTGAAACCCTCTGGCGCGTCAGCAATATGGTCCTCAGTAATACCAATCGGCCCTGGGTAGCGGACAGATTGAGGCGGAATCTCAATTCTCCTTACACGGCGAACAGTCGTCTGAAAATACGATCGAATAATCAAGTTATTTGACTGTTTAAACAGAGACTAGCAACAAAATCCTCAAAAGAAATCATACCTCATGAAGATGGGGTGGAGGAGCCAAAGAGGGAAGCAAGTCCTGCGCATAATCGCCCTCCATACGTACAAGCTTCTGCCAAGGAAAAGTGTAGCGCTCTCCCTGTTTATCAACTCCCTAAGCAAGCGTGAGTCCAGCATCAACTCCGGCGGAGACAAGGGCACCACAAAGCGATCACCACTGTGTTGACGAACGACACGCTCCCCCAGATACCAGACAAAGCGTCCAGTACCAACAAAAATAGTGCGGTACGCTGAAAGCTGCAAGGCCTCGGGAAGATTAGTCATCCCAGCCCAAGCCCGATACTAGACATCAATAGCAACCTAAAAACCATAAAAAGTTGCAATGAAGCGCCAGAAATAATGTCAAGATAGAAAATAACAGGCTACGAAAGTAATTCTTACACAAACAGAAGAGGTGCGGCGTAGCAGCCCGCGTAGTGCAGAGACAGACTCCACTCGTGACTTGCCTCGGTCACGCCAGCTAGATCCAACAGGGAAGTCATGAACTGCTCCATGACACCATCGAGGGGCCAATCCCGAAAAGTACTAATAGAACCATAGCTGCAATGAAAAGTAATCTTTGAGCACATGAGTCGAACAAATTAAAATAAAACAAGAAGATGAAAGGATCGTCACCTCTACGACTCTCCATAAACCGTAGTCAGTAACAAGGGACTCGTTGTTCAGCTGCCTACAGCCATGACGTAATGACAAGAAAAGATCGGCATATCCAAGGCTGGCCCAGCTATAGGATCCTATCTCACTAATCCTAAGCAAAGAAGTAAGGTAGCAAACGAGCGCACGCAAACTCCTATCAGGAGAAAGAGTCATGGAAATGAGAATCAAAATGAAGATCCGCACTCGCTGCTCAGGTCTCCTCTATGTCAAAACCACGGGCTAGAGAAGCCAACTATGATCGCCTGCTCCTAAGACCAACTTGAGACACCGGTTGAGTCCTGATATGCTGAATGATCGCACCTAACAAATCGGCTGCCTCAACCGCCCCCCAAGAAAGATTAGACATCTGTACTACGGCCCGGTCAGTGAAGCGTAGACCACTGATCATGCTAAAATCCAGAGGGGTCACTGTCATCTCCCCCCAAGCAAAGTGAAAAGTGTTGGTAGTATCCCAAAAATACTCCAACATCGCGCGAACGACTGTCGCGCCAAGACCCCGGTGGCTGCGAAACCCTACGATCGCCGAATAAAAGTTTACTAGACCAGCTGATTCCCATAAGGCGTTCGTAGCAGGATCCCTTGTGATAATCCCATGAAGTCGAGGAATCAAATCTCCGGCTCCAGAACCGTGATGGCGAAGCGTGCCGCCGACTATGCCGGTAAGTGGACGATGAGAAACGTGGTTCTCACGATGGAAAACCAACTGGTCTGGTGTTCACGGAGGTGGAGCCCACCTACCTCTACCCGTAGAGGGTCGAGGCTCAGACTCTAAGATGTCGTCATCCATACCCTCGGGAATCGTAGGAGTGTCCTCCCGAAAAGCCCGACGCCGGCCATGAGTGAAAAGATCGCGATCCCGTCGTCTAGGCATGTTATTATAAAAATAAAAATCTAAATGCTTAGTATCATTTCCTAAGATATTTAGTTATTTATTTCAAGTTGCATTTTAATAAAAATCTAAATGCTTAACAACATTTCCTAAATTATTTAGTTATTTATTGCGTTTTCTATGATGCGCTAAATTTTTACCTCAAGGCTAAAAATTAACAAAATAATGGAATTATTTATAGTATTTAGTTTCTCCATGACAAACTAATACTATGTTCTCCTAATTGCATGATACTATGTTCTCCATGACAATGTAGTACATACACAACACAAAACATGTTTCAAAATTGCACGAAAACAATAGATCGACAAGATCTACAACCAATAATTCATCATTTCAAGTGCAAAAGAACAACATGAACAACAAGAACACCATTTCACACAAGTAGTACCAAAAAATGGTGATTTGCTCTATTCTTCACCAAATCATGCAATTTTTGTTTAAAATCGCTCACAAACACACATACATACATATACAAGTGAATTCATGCCAAGAATTTCAACATAAAACCTCAAAATCAAAAATCCCCAAATTGATTTTTTAGGGTTTTTACACGAAATTACTCATTCGAAGCAAATTCAAGACAAAAGGCAAGAAAACCATGAATCCTTGTAAGAAATCGGAAATGAGGAAGATAGGAAAAAATTGGACCAAATTTAATGAAGAATTGAACTCCAAAGCTCGAAAAAACCACGAGGACAGTAGTACAGACCGCCGCGACACGGGAAGTTAAAGCCGTGACAGGGTGTTCAGGTCCCGTGTCATGGTGATTCCGGGAAAGGTGGAGCATCGGCCAGTCGTGACAAGCACAAGAACAGCAGCAGCAACGAGCAGTAGAAGAAAAATAAATAAATAAAAGGGGGCAGCAAAACTGCCGTGTCACGGTGACACAATTCGTGACACGGTGAGCACATCCGTCTACCGGTGCAACGAAACC